GTATTTGGGTAATTGGTAATATTTATGTCTAAATACGCGAGAATTAAGTATTTCTAGATCAGCAGCGAGAAGAAGACTTTGTTGGAGTTTTTCGCTCCGTGTAAGGTTACTGCAGTAATAGAAAGGGCTGTTTGGTTATTTGTTTAGCTATGTCTGTTCTATTATCATGTTTTGCTGTGATTTGTTTTTTAGGTTAACTTAAAGCATTAAGTTGTGAATTTTTAGGTTTATGGTTTTTGGTTTTTCCATATTGTGTTTTACATGTTAATAAACTTATGATTTATTGATTATCTTTTAGTCTATCTTGATGAAGATAAGCAGTTAACTGCTCTGGGTTTTATTAGCTATAACTTGAAGGTTTATAGTCATATAACAGATAAAATGGGTTACCTTCCTCTAACGGCTAACATTTGATACCACGATTAGTGTCAGTGTTTTTAGTCTATATATCTTTAATAGTGTCCCCGCAATCAAGGTTACACTTGATGTATTCAACTAAAATAACACAAGCTCACATAAAGGTAAAGCGCATGTCTCTGTCAGGCAGTCACCGGTGAGCCAGACTGTTGCAAGGGACTTCAATAGAGTGCTTTATCGTGTAAATCGTGTGAGAAAAAAGGACAAACGAAATGTCTTTGAGGCAGGAAATGTGATGCGGAATTGACGGCGTCTTTAAGATAAACTAAATGTCGATTACGCAAAAATCAAGTCTGGATTTAAATTATAAGTTAAACCTCGCATTTTACACTTACCCATATAATATGGTCATACATTAACAGAGACATCAGTCATGAGCTCATGCAACTAAACTAATCAGACACGTTATACATTTTCGGAGGAGCAACAGCAACTAAAACATTTAACTAGTTATTCTACTTTGTGGAGCTAAATTGATTTATTGAAATGACATGGCATAAAATCAGTTAAATTTATAATCATCGACAATTTCACCGTAATAAATCGAACGGCTAGAGTCGTATTAATTTAATTTAATTTTTTTTTAAATTATAATTTTTTGCGATCAGTTAATAATCTTGAAACATAATGTTTTAGTATACTGGCAAGGAAGTCATAGGCCGTCCTGTTTGAAAGAGGAACTTAATATTTTTCCATTGGAATAAAAATAAAAATTACACATAAAATAAAAAAAAAATAGAAAAAAATAATAAATATTTTAGTATACTAATAAATGAATATGACAAGATATTATTAGAGCTATTAACTTGTTTGTGAAGTTTTGCTTTCAAATGTGGTTTTAATTGCCGTCGTTTACAGACACATTATTTGTTTGTCTTTGTATAACCACACTGTAGCATTTGTGTGACGCATGTGTTTCTCAACTTTATAAATAAAATTAGTGTAGTTTGTTCCTATTTTTTTGATGACGTAGCCGAAGCGAAAGTTCTAGATTTTCCAGCAGCTTAGACTTGAATAGTTATCATCATCTGAAGACGTTACACCTAGATTTCTGCTTGGAATACCAACATTTCTAGAGTACAATAATATCTAATCAGGAATTAAAGCTTTTCACACCTATATTTCTTCTTGGAATATCAACATTTAGAGTAGGCCTACAATAATATCTAATCAGGGAATTATGGCTGAAACACAGAATTTCGACATGATAACTAAATCAAATAACAGTACTGCTGGTTGTTTGGACGACAGTGAATGTGCTACTAAATTCCTGACAATAATTCATGTATTCGTTGCTCCTGTGTTTGGAGTGCTTGGCGTCGTGGGCAACGCCTGGAATATCCACTTCCTGAAGAGTAAAGGCCTAAATAAAAACATCAACTGTGTCCTCGTATCACTCGCCGTAGTGGACCTCTTGTTCTCGCTGACCATCCCGTTCTTTCATCTGAACAGGGTCGCTAATGTGCTTGAGCTAGTGCTGTTGTATGAAGTGACTTTGTATTTTAGATTAGTTGTCGACCCATTGAATCGCATCTGTTTGTTTTCAAATGTACTTCATGTAACTTTGATATCGGTTGTTAGACTAGTCGCCGTTGTCTTTCCGTTTCATCTCTCTCGTGTTTTTACACCTCGTCGAACCCATATTTGTCTCGTTGTTATCCATATTTTGCCTATAATAATATTAATTGCACAATACACTTTAAATGTAATTATTGACATTAAATTTAGCAATGCAAAAATGAATGAAATAATTGATCTCCACTTTAAATCTAAACATTTTTTAAAAATACTACATGTGTACGAAATGTTTGTTATACCTCAAGTGTTTATGAATATCCCCATTCTGATAATTCTCTCATGTACGGTTATAATCACTTTCAAAATGCTCAATCGAAGGTACAACTTCTCTGAAAAAACTGGTACTAACTCTATCAATGATGCAAAGGTTTTTTGGACATTGTATGCTATCTGTATATCAAAACTTGTTCTGTGTTTGCCTACTTCGATCGTGAAGAGTTTTGGCTTTCTCTTCTTAAACCAAACGGAATTAAAAGATAATTTAGTAGAGGCTGTACTCTCAATACTTAATGGCATCGATGCATCTAGTAATGTTGTTATTTATTTTGTGAACAGCAAGTGCTAAATTTGAGGAATTACAAATTTCAAATATGTAATTATTTTTGTATAAATCTTCCCTCCCCCCCCCCAAATTTTTAAGTATTATATATTGCACTTACGTATTATCATTTAAAACATTTTATTTACCGGAATACTAAGTTGCATTTATGAATCATTGAGATCTTATTTTAATAACGTTCATAGAAAAACTTTCAGGCGAATTGTAAATGTTGATAACGTGTGTCTTGCTTATATTTATTTATTTTGCGTCATTATTTTTTGTTTGTTTTTATTTTGGGAAACTTCGCTGCTTTTCTAGTCACATGCAACTTATATGGTTTTATTCAACTGCATATAAAATGCAAATATTTTTTTGTATATTTTAATTGTTTCATATGGGGTTGTCGCTAACTAAGAGATGGAAAGTAAGTAACAAGCGGTTTTCTTTTTAATGGTTTGATTCTGTCGCGTTTCTCGCGATATCATCTTGATTTATTCTTAGGACTTGCACCATCCAGTGCCAGCTTCTTTTTTTTTATTATTTCGGAAACTGCTTCCATTTCCATATCTCCTAGTAGTCTATCATTTGAGATGGTGTTAGGCCAGTGTAAGCCTTTATCTTTCACAAGCACTTAGCCCGTAATGAGTCCCATGATCTGATGTTGACGTTTGTTTCTTTCCAGAATTTGCTGCCATTCAAAAGGATGCTAAGGTCACTGACTTTGAAAAGTCCGCATTCGGCCTTGGAGGAGATTTTCTTCGACTGTTGTTTTTTTTTGCATGTTTGCAAGGTCAAATTTGGCTTTAGAGATGCGTGTTTCCTTCATAATTGACGATGCTGCCTAAATATGTGAAATCAGTGGCGTCGCTAGGTCGAGTGTCACCCGGTGCGGTACGTTATGGTGTCACCCCCCCCCCCCCCACCAAATAAAAAAAAATTGGATATATATATATATATATATATATATATATATATATATATATATATATATATATATAATTTACAATTGGTGTATTGGTGTCACCCACCCCTCCCATTTGGTCAAATCGCGTGAATTTGTGAACACATTATTTTAATTCAAGTTGAGCAAAGCAACGTTTCATGTTTTTCTCTATAGTTAGCAGGTTTACTTGATTGTGTCGCACCCCTCTCCACCACCCAAACCTCCCCCCCCTCCACTTGTCGGGATCGTTAATTTAAAACTTAAAAGACTTTTTAACTCTAATTTATCATTAGTTTAACTGTCAAAAAGCATTTTTCTTCTATATATTTTGCATTTTTTTGTCTTGGTGTCACCCCCCATTTAGTGTCACCCGGTGCGGTTCGCACCCCCCCCCCTCACTCCGCCTCGCGACGCCTCTGTGTGAAATCTCATATTTCCTCTACTTCTGTGCTGTTTATTTGAATAGGTTCTTGGCTCGATGTATAAACCTTTACTTAGTCATGATTAAATATAATTTTAGATCAAAGGTATCTCAAACCAACCGCTTATGGAGTTGTGCCCAATATACAAAGCTTCCTCTTCTTCTTCGTTCTTAATTTTTAGTGTTGGGGGGGATCGAGCCTTATCTGCCAGAGGGTTTGAACTCGAGACTTTTTCGCTTTAGCCGACTCGACCACGTCTCCATCACAATTAAGGATACGTGTCAACTGGTTATGCGCCATTGAGGCCATTGAATCCGATTTCAGCCTGCTTTTCTTTTTGGATTTGCTTCCAAAGCCTTTGTCCAACCAAGAACAAGCTACAAGGCAGAAAGTGTTTGATTTTGGAGTTGTCTCTCCTAGAAGAGCTACTGTCCCCAGCTAACGAGCCTCATCTGCCCGAGGGTTCGAACTACAGCTTTTACCGACTCGACCACGCCGCCCCCCTCTATACAAAGCGTTGTGTCCGCTTTTAGCAGTTATTTTAACACTTAAACGATGTTTTATCACTTTCATGACAATTGCTCCAATTTTTTTTGTTTTGAAGTTTTATCCCCAATAAAATCAACAACAATACCGACAACAACGCTTGAAATGTAATATTAATTTGATAAAATATGTGATTGTACAAGACATAACGACGAATAACATTGTTTATTTTAAATTTTTGTTTTATTATAATGCTATGTAGTATCTAAAAAAAACAACAACTGAACATGACAACATGTTGAACATATCACATACTCGGGCTAATATTAGATGCATAGAATAATATAACTTTATTTATACGAAACCATTCAATCATAATAATAAATAAATAAATAATTGAAGTATATTCTTTGTGTTTTTTTTACAAACTCTCTGTTTATTTACATTTCAGTTTTATTTAAATTCAAAATGTTTTTGTTCTTGATCAATAATAAGTACAAGCAGATATATTTTTCAAATTTTAAAATAACGCTTTTAAATAATGCTTTCTTTAGGACAATAGAATTATAATGTACAGAAATATAGACACTTGTAGAACCTCCACTACTAACTCTTATACGTTAGTCTCACGGGAGTGGTGGTTGATACGTGTGTTAGTTGTCTCACTGGACGCTGTGTCCTCTTGTGTGAGGGGTGGGGTAGTCGATGTCACGGTATGGACCTCTTCAGTCTAGAGAAATAAAGAGAAAGTAGCTGAATTTTAGGTCTAAGCAGGGCCGCTACTCTGAGGAGAAGATCGTACTGAGGATTACTTAATCAGGGTTATTTGTCACGTTATAAGTTGATTAAAATTTGGTCGTCGATTGCTTCTTAGGGTGCGTTTGGTGAGTTTAAAATAAAATATGAAAAAAGTCAAGTTTGGGGTGGGGTTGTGGGGGGGGGGGGGTCGAAAAAGTGATGCGTAGGACGAGGGAGGAATGGAGGGATTGACTTATCAGCACTGTATGTGCTAGAGTTCCGAGATTAAGTTCAACGTGACCAATGCGAACCTCCCTGATGGAGGCATCCGACTGTTGTAAGGAATGGAGAAGTGTGGGCGCCGCTATGCGACACTTAGCCCTAGACACAACACTCTGTGGTACCCCAACGACCACAATAAACGGTTGATTACTTATTATTTACTTATGCACCATTACTTAAAACATTGACTTACTTTGACAGCGGTTCCGAAATAATTCGGGAACAGCGTCTTGTAGATCCAGAGGCTGGGCAGTTTCTTGTGCGGCTCCACGTGAAAGTCGTCCACGTAGTCGACCTTGACCCTGTGTTTCTTCAACGCCGGACCCCACCTGATGGTCGGGGTGCAGAGCATTCGAATTTTCTGGAACAACCAACAAAAGGCTTGTAAAAATATAAGCATGCCTAATATTTGAATATCAAGATGATATCACAGGAAAGGATTTAAAGCGGATGCCTCAAGGAAAAAGAAAACAAGGAAGGTAAAGGGACTCTTGGAGGCGCACAGCGAGGAAGCAGCTGGCAGAGGCAGGACTGTCATGGGGGACTGCCAGGAAGCAACTGGCAGAGGCAGGACTGTCATGGGGGACTGCCTGGTTAATTGTCGGAGACTGAAAAAAGTGGAGGGAGCTTGCTGTGGCGACTCCATGTGCCTTGGGATCATATTCTCTAAAAACATATAGCGCGAATCTAATTTTAAATTCCTTATGTTGGATGATCAAGAAAGAAGCATACAATTCTTCAAAAATTGATTTTCCGAAAAAGTTACAACTGAAGTTGAATAAAATTTGATTGCCTTAAAGTCCAACGACCGACGTCTATTCAAACTGAATTTGATTCTCACAAAGTCCTATACGCTGGAGTGACTACACAAAGACCGGCTTATTTTGATCAAGCGTTCCTATAAACCACCCCACTCACCTGAAATACATTACTCCCGTCTTTTGCCTTATAAATCTTGTAGACCATGACCAAGGGTATGGCCATGACAGCACCCAAGGTCATGACCCAGCCGAGGGCATCCGCCCATCTGGGGTAAATGTAATCGTCGTATCTAGACTGGTGGTAGTCGACGAAGATGAAGATGAAGATAAACTGAAACACAGAGGGATTTTTTATTTTAGTTTGACGTAAAAAACTATTTACAACGATTGTGATTCGTCTAAAGCTACTTACATCGATTGTGATTGGTCTAAAACTACTTACAGCGATTGTGATTGGACTGACGATACACCACGTGATCTTCCAGAAAATTAAAATATTGCAGTTGGTCATCAGACGAATGTCTAAACAAAATCTGTTCACACCTGCAGCAGAAGTGTCAAAGTTAAATTACCCACACATACAACAGAATGGTCAAAGTTAAATTACCCACACATACAACAGAAGTGTCAAAGTTAAATTTAATTACCAATGCATACAAGAGAAGTGACAAAACTAAACTAAATTACCCACACATACAACAGAAGTGTCAAAATTAAATTAAATTACCCATACATACAATAGAAGTGTCAAAGTTAAATTACCCATACATACAACAGAAGTGTCAAAGTTAAATTTAATTACCAATGCATACAAGAGAAGTGACAAAACTAAACTAAATTACCCACACATACAACAGAAGTGTCAAAATTAAATTAAATTACCCATACATACAATAGAAGTGTCAAAGTTAAATTACCCATACATACAACAGAAGTGTCAAAGTTAAATTACCCATACATACAACAGAAGTGTCAAAGTTAAATTACCCATACATACAACAGAAAGGTCAACATTAAATTAACTACACATACAACAAAGTGTCAAAATCAAATTACCCACAAATACGATAGGAGAATGAAAATTAAATTCAATTACCCAAACATACAAAGATATGACAAAATAAAATAAAATTAACCACACATACAACAGAAGTGCCAAAATTAAATAACCCACACATAAAAGAGAAGTGTCAAAATTAAATTAAAATACCCACACATACAAGAAAAGTGGCAAAATTAAATTAATTAATTACACGTACAACAGAAGTTTCATAATTAAATTAATTACCCACACATACAAGAGAAGTGTTAAAATTAGATTAATTAACCACACATACAAGAGAAGTGTTAAAATTAGATTAATTAACCACACATACAAGAGAAGTGTTAAAATTAGATTAATTAACCACACATACAAGAGAAGTGTTAAAATTAGATTAATTAACCACACATACAAGAGAAGTGGTAAAATTAGATTAATTAACCACACATACAAGAGAAGTGTTAAAATTAGATTAATTAACCACACATACAAGAGAAGTGTTAAAATTAGATTAATTGCATGACATGCGGGACATCTAGATTTAGCATAAAGAAAAATTATTCGAAGACCACAGGGGAAAATCCACCGTTGTCACAGTTTTCTTCTTCTGAGAAAAATGAGATTTTGTTTTTGGGATTCTTTGCTGTTCCATTGTTGCATGATTTTAATATTCTAAATATTGAGGGGAAAGCGTAGTTTTACGCTTTCATATCGTTATACGTGATGGATATACACCAGTACTGCATGAATATGACACGAATTCACAAATTGCACAAAAGTGGACATCGGTGGTTTATCCCGTGTGGTCTTCATTCAGTCAGTTAAAACGATTTCCACATCATCAGGCTTCCAACCAACTAGTACATTCTCATTAAGTGTAATCCAAAGGCCAGTATAACCTGCAAGCGATTCTATTCGAGTATTTTAGGGCTTAGAGATATATTCATTTTCGATACAGTATAAACGCAGAATAGGGCTTGTAAGTAGGTTACCACCTTCTCGTTTTCGAACTTGCATCTATGATTTAAAAAAAACATAAACAATGCTAAAGATCAAATTGATAGACTACAATATGTTGGCTAGCTTCAAGAAAAATATAGCCTGCGATAAATTCTGATTATTTATAAGAAACGTAACACGTTGCCCTAAATAAAGATAAAATATTAATATAATATTATTAATGACCTAGGTACTCAATTTGACTCTATTATTAGTAAAATGTTTATAATTGTTGCATTTTGTGTAGCCCTACTCTTGGTATTTTAAAATCTTGAATGGAGGCCTAGAAATAATAGCCGCCATGATTTTAGTTATCAATCGTAATAAAGTTCACAACAATTAATTTGGTTCGAAAATTCATATCTCTCCCAGGCAAACGAGACTTCAAATTTAAGCGAGAGAGAACGAGATTTACAAGCCCTATACCATCAGATACAACTTTGATTTAAGAAAATGATTTTATAAATATTTGATGCACTGACCGTAAACAAACACCACAGCCACCAGTTCGAATGCTGCTATAATGAAGAGAGTCATACCACCAACGTAGTTGTCCATTAATTGCAGTAGGTAGATGCCACCCTAGTTGAGGAAATGATAGGAACTAGTAATGGCTGCTTTATAATGGGCAAAAATGCAATACAAAATATGTAGGTAGATACCTTGTAGTTGAGGAAATGATATAAACTTGTAATGTCTGCTTTGTAATGGGTAATCGTGCAATTAAAATATGTAGTTAGATACGGCTTTAGTAGAGGAGATTATTGTAACTTGTAACGGCTGCTTTATAATGGGTAATAGTGCAATACAAAATATGTAGGTAGATACCTTCTAGTTGAGGAGATAATAGAAACTTGTAATGGCTGCTTTATAATTGGCAATAGTGCAAAATAAAATGCAGGTAGGCGCCAGCCTTGTTAATAAAATCGGAGAAATATAATTTGTGAATGTTGGTTAATATCGTGTAATGGTCAAATTGAAATATGTACTAAACGAAAAAAAAAGATAATAACTTTAAAAAAATTAAATTATATTAGTCAAAACTGTAAACTATGTACATGAGCGCAATGCCAGTCTTAAACGTTTAACGCGCTAATCTTTTCCCGTTCGTGCTCAAGAAGTAGAGTTCATCTGTTTTAGAGAACTAGGCATGTGAAGGGATGGTGTGGTCAGTACTATGCCCATTCGCCTTTGTTAGCGGTCTAGCTCTCTACCGTGAGGCGACGCCGTCCCGTATTTAACGCGATACCAACCTGAAAAATGTAAAACGATACTATCCATCGTTACCTAACACGATACCCAGCATATTGACTCAACACGATACACAGCGTAATCACTTAACATGATACCCAGCGTAACCACTTACCACGATACCCAGCGTAATCACTTAACACGATACCATCGTAATCACTTAACACGATACCCAGCGTAACCCCTTAACACGATACCCAGCGTAATAACTTAATACGATACCCAGCGTAAACACTCAACACGATACCCAGCGTAACCACTTACCACGATACCCAGCGTAATCACTTAACACGATACCCAGCGTAATCACTTAACACGATACCCAGCGTAACCACTTACCATGATACCCAGCGTAACCACTTACCACGATACCCAGCGTAACCATTTACCACGATACCAATCTTAAACATTAAACGCTATGCTAGCCTTTGACATTGAACTTGTGTAAAAGGCAATATGTCGAGAAAATCTAAATTTAAAACTGACTCCGCCCATAACCACATACATAACTATAACTCTCATGTGAAATAATGTCAACCCACTCCACCCCTCCCACTAACATGACACTCATAGCGTGCAGAGAAGTACTCACGGGGCAGGTGAGGGGTAGCCCAAACAGGAACAGCACGACACAGATGACCACCATGACGTACATCTTTTTGTGACGTAACATGGGGAACTGGTCAATGACGCCTGTCAGCACTGTTTCAATCATCACAAACTGCAGAGTTCAGAGGTCAAAGAAAATATGTCAACAAAATTAGACTGGCAAGTCATGATGTTTTAAACTAGCAAAAAAAAAAATTACAATAAATTATAGAATTATAAATTAATTTTAAAATATAATCAATAAAATTAATTGTAAAGTAAATTATAAAATTGTATAAAAAGTTACAATAAATTATAGAACTTTAAATTAATTAAAAATATAATCAATAAAATTAATTATAAAATAAATGATAAGAGTATATAAAAATTACAAAAAATTATAGAACTATAAATTAATTATAAAATTTAGGCCTACTCAATAAATTAATTATAAAATAAATTATAAAATTATGTAAAAAATTATAATAAATTCTAGCGATGCTACACTTTGGTTGTTCAAAGCATATCAAGTTAAAGAAAAAACAATGACATTTGTAACACAGCTTTATTCTTTAAAAAAATATTTTTTATTGCATTACACGATCCTCTACAGTTATCTTCTCCATAGCCTTTCATTGTATAAAGCGTACGCTAATATGTAATGTATCAGGCAATAGCTACATAAGTCACTTATATTCAAAACAAAAAATAATTTCGATGTATCACACATTTAAGTTTCAATTTAGGAGAAGATGACTTTAAAAGTCGTATGGCACCAAAGAAATAATTCTACAACAATTTTGTTACCTGAGAGTCCAGCCCGAGTGTCAACAATGTGACAAAAAACAGAATGGCCCAGAGAGTCGTTGGTGGGAGGTTAGAAATGGCTTCTGGGTACATGACAAAGGCCAGTCCTACACCTGGTAGAGAGTGAAACATTATGGTATAATATCAGGGTACAGGATAAAGGTCAGCTCTAAAACTGGTATATATATAGAGAGAAACATCACGGTATAATATCAAGGTACAGGACAAAGCCTACGCCTGATAGAGAGAAACATTACGGCAGGGGTTCCCAACCCTGTGCCCGCGGGCGCCATGGCGCCCGCTGAACGATTCGTATGTGCCCGCCTCTCACTTTTCGACAGAGACAGAATTTTTTTCATAAACATTATTTTAAAATATGATTTATTTTTATTCATTTGTTAAAGTTTTAATTTTTTTTTTGACTGCCTAGGTTTATTAAATATGTTCGATACTTGTCCCAACTTGTCTAGCGGCGAGCCAGACTGCATTATTTACGTTTTGTAAATACAATTCTCTGTGTGTATGCAATTTGAAAAAAATGCCAAATAATTTTATTCTTTTGAAACATTTTTTAAAATTATTTATTAATACATTATGACCAGAGGCGTAGCAAGGAGCGGGGGGGGGGGGGGGCGGACCGCACCGGGTGACACCATTTAGGGGGGTGACACCAAGGTAAAAAATACCAAAATATATAGAGAAAAATTCGAGGGAGGGGGGGGGGGTGCAAATCGAAAGTTTGAGGGGGGGGGGGTGCAAATCTAAAATTGAAAGTTTGTCCCTGGGAAAGGTCGCCACTGGGGGGGGGGGGTGACACCATTAAGTGCCGAATCGGGTGTCACCTCGACCTCGCTACGCCACTGATTATGACTATAAAAAAATAAAATAAATTATGGGAAATGACAAGTTATGGAAGGAGTTTGTTGATTTAAAATAGGTGGTGCCCGCCACCCTACCGATATTTTAGAATGTGCTCTAGAGTAAAAAAAGGTTGGGAACCCCTGCATTACGGTATAATATCAGGGTACATGACAAAAGACAAAGGCCAGTGCTACACATATTATAGAGAGAATACATGTACAGTATAATATAAGGTACAGGGTAAAGGCCGTTTCTAAAACTGGTAAATACAGAAATAATACATGTACAATATAATATAGGGTACAGGACAAAGGTCAACCCAACATCTTGTACAATATGGACCGAATGGTTCTTTTAAACCAACTACAAATGATGCAGTACATAAAGTTTTCATGATAGCGGTTTGATAAAAAAAAATTGCTGATTCCTAAGTTACACACAAATTAAAAAAAAAGATCGTCCAAAATCGATGACACATACTGGCAAAAAAAAAAGGAAGGCGGGAGAAGGAGATTAAAACATTCCAAAATTGTGACGTCATTTATGAATAACCCCTAAACCCATAGTTATCCAAAAGATGACGGATATAATACAAAACACACCATAGTTTAGACAACTTATTAAAGATCAACCTCAATTTAAAAAATATACATTTTAGAGATCTTTACTCGCTATTCTCAGTTCGGAATCTTACAATGACAATGTAAAAACCAACAGAAAAGTAAATAAAATCAATCGAGACTTACCATCGACAGCGACATCCTCTATATGGACGGACAGCTGACCAGCGATGTAGCCAAGGTAAGAGAAAATAACAAACCCTCCAAGGATACATGTCATAGTGTCGCCAAAGGCTACCAAGATGGAATCTCTGGGGAAAAAAGTTTAGAACACCTAATAAATATAAACAAATTTAAAAGTCAATAAAACATGGGGGGAAAAACCGATGTTTTATTTTATTTTATAAGTTTTAAATTTTAAAAAAAAAAGTTAAAATATGTTAAGCTTAAAGTTTAGAATTTTAAATTAAAAAAAAAAATATTAATTGAATAAAAAAAAATGAAATTTAAACAATCACAAAAATCAGAAGTTTAAGACTATCCAATGATGAACTATCAGCGTTGGTTTGCCTCGAATGGTCTGATTGGTTTTCTACTTTTAGCCACCACGTGATTCTGGTAATGACGTCACTCACCTGACGATGTTGTTGTGAAACCGGTTGTAACTGGCCAGGGAGATGACGCTGCCGCCGGCAATGCCCAGAGAGAAGAAGATCTGGTTGATGGCGTCTTTCCAGGCCTGGTGACGATAAGTGTTTTATTGAAATTCTTTAAACGCTTCAGAGTTAAGTTCAGTGTTTCTTCCAGAGGAAAGTCTACCGCCCCACTCCCTCCAATGAAATGGAATTTATATAGAAAATATAGATTTTATACTTTTAACACTTTCCGTACTCCCCCCCTCCCCCAGGAAATTTTAGTTCGCCCCCCCCCCCCCCCCTCCGAATTTCAAGTGACCCCCCCCCCCACTCTTGGAGAAAAAAGTCTGGAAGGAACACTGGTAAACTTATAGACTTATAGATACATTTATAATGGTAATGTACCGGCATGTTTCATAATTAAATACAAGGTAAGTTGGATGAAGAAAAATAATACATTTGTTTCCACGATAAGCAAAATTGTGATGCCTCGGATTAAAACGTAAAGAAAACAATTTTAATGCAATTCGAAATATAAAAAAACATAAATTACAAAACACAGTTTTTGATTGAGCGATCGCAAGTATTAGTAGTTAGCGTCAAACTGATAAAATCACAGAAAAAAAATCACAGAAAAAAACAATTTCATTATAAATAATAATCATTAAAAAAGTTTTAAAAAACCCACGTTTTCTGATTGAACTAAAAAGTAGAAAATAAATGCTATAGGCCCTACATCACAATAATGCAAGCGATCACTCTACTATAAGCGATCAAAAACGTGGGGCGCCGAAGTAAAAGTTATATTACTATTGATTAGATAATACTATTGACTTTTATTAGGGAGCTTGTAGAGAGTCAACAGTATTAGAAACTGTAAGAAAATCACGGCGCCCCACGTTTTTGCTCGCTTATAGTAGAGTGATCGCTTGCATTATTGTGATGTAGGGCCTATAGCATTTATTTTCTACTTTTTAGTTCAATCAGAAAACGTGGGTTTTTTAAAACTTTTTTAATGATTATTATTTTCTACTTTTTAGTCTTTGTCTGTTTGTTTGCATTAAAATCTTGCTATCGATTTTATCTTTTCACTTTTTTTGGGTAAACGAAGACAACTCGTAAAAAGACAACTCGTAAAAAGACAACTCGTAAAAAGACAACTCGTAAAAAGACAACTCGTAAAAAACTCGTTGTTTGAATACGTTACTGACTAGAACACATAGATTTGAACCCGTGTCGAGTGGGATAGCAATCGTGTGCCCAACCACTCGACCATATCGTCTCCCCCAAACTGGCCTACCTCCTGTAAGTTTAAACTCGGTTCAAGCTAAATTCTCTGCCCCTAAGCCTGTGGCGACATGTGATCGTTCGCTTCACTGCGCGCGAGGTACGCGTCGCTGGTTTTTTTTCTAATGGCTAGCAGAGGAGAATTATATATATAGATTATATAGCGGTCTAAAATGCTCAATAAAATGTTTCCATTGATCAATTTAGTAATAATAACAATTGAATATTCAATGGTCATCCAAAAGAAAGCTTCCCTGAAAATTTCAGCGCGCTAGCTAACTGGGAAGTGCCAGAAATTTCGATCGCAAGATTTGATTGGAAAGACAAACACACAAAAAATGATACGCTTTTTGGACTTTCTTTTACCTGCGAATGTGATATGTAGAAAAATAATTTACAAGGGAGATAACATCTCTAGTTTTGGTCAAAATGTTCACTCACCGTTGCGTCCCCTAGCCTTTCAAAAGAAGGCGTGATAAAATAGTAGATGCCGTAGGAGGCGTGTTCTAGGGTCAGACCCCTGAGGAACAGGATGATCAACAGGACATAGGGACAGAGAGCTGTAAAATACACAACCTGTGGGCAGAGATAGAACAATCAGCAGGGCATAGAGGCAGATAAAGGATGATCAGTAGGGCATAGGGGCAGAGGGCTGTAAAATACACGACCTGTGGGCAGAGAGAGAACGATAAGTAAGGCATAGGGGCAGAGACAGTAACATCAGCAGGACATAGGGGCAGAGAGCTGTAAATACACGACCTGTGGTCAGAGATAGGAGAATCAGTTAGACATAGGCAGATAAGGATAATGAGATAAAAGCCATATCCAGCAATGTTTAGGTTTACAACTCTTTGATATAGGCCTGTCAAATCTTTACAAAATTTAGAGGTAAAGTTGGCTTGATTTACATTTAACAATGAAAAACTTAACAAAAAACATTGTTTTTATATACACTTATGTAAAAAACTAAACAAAAACTATTTGTCTTAACCTTTAACCCCAAGCTTTGTGTTCAGACAAACTTAGTGTGAGCCAATGGTGTACTCACCTTGCCCGTGCTTTTGATTCCCTTGATCAGACAGAAGAAACACACGGCCCAAGCTAACATCAGACACAGGACCAGGTCCCACTTGGGGCTGCCCATGTGTTCCAGACCCTCACTGACCTCAAGCACGGAGCTGGAATATTCCAGAGAAGTCATCGCTACACGGTGTGTTGGAAGTGTCAAAGTTGCACAATGTGTTGGAAGAGTCCATATTTGTTAGTCATTTCTACACAGTGTGTTGGAAGAGTCCATATTTGTTAGACATGGCTACACAATGTGTTGGAAGAGTCCATATTTGTTAGACATGGCTACACAATGTGTTGGGAGAGTCCATATTTGTAAGTCATAGCTACACAATGTGTTGGAGACATAGGTACGCACAAGCGACGGGAGGGGACATTTGTTATTCATAGTTACCCAGTGTGTTGGAAGAATCATTAATGGTCTTAGTTGAACATGAGTAACGGGATGGGCAATGTAGTCATAGCTTAACATAAGTGAAAAAAATCATCGTGAGTTATAACTACGCATTGGCGACTGAAGGGTTAATTTGAATCATAGCTAATTATGGGGGAATGAGCAGCATTGTAAATCCTAGCTACACGTGGATGACGGAAAAGACATTAAAAGTCATAGCTACACCTGTTAGATGTGTTAATAAAACTCATGGGAAATAGCTGAAATAGTCAAAGAAAGTCATAGTTACGCATAATAGATGTGTTTATAAGTCATTTGAGTTGGATATTCAAAAAGAGTCATGGCGAAAATTAGGTGGTGTTAATGACTTTGGAGAATACAATGCTTTAGATGTTGAACACATTTCGGAAAGATGTTTAAAGGTTGTACCAGAAGAAAAAAACAACTGCTTAGAAAGTTAAGACCTACTTTTCCCAGTATTCTTGAGACGGAGACTTCAGTTTCCGCCCAGTGACGTTGACGAAGAGAGTTTTATTCCAGATGCCGACCTCTGTACCATTGTAGCTCCTGCACAGTCCGTCCATTGTTTTACTCACACCTTGGCACTGCATTGTGGGTAATCTCAAACTACAGTCTGTGAGCAGTGTTCAGAAAAGGGCATGTCAATTTATGCATTAAGTGGCTTTGACTTTCTTTAAACCCCAGATTTTAGAATTACTTATCATACACTATTCCTAACGCTAAGCAAAAATTAAAGAAATTTCCTAAAAATATTGCTTGAAGACCATTTATGGATATCGCAATAGAAATAGAAGATATATATATATATATATTTTAAAATAGTGATTTGTGTAAAATTTCTCCAATCAGCAACACGGGATGTTGGTTCAAAAGATCGTCCATCAATACTAAATCAAACGATTTAAAAGAAATAAAAAAAAAAAAATAAACGCTGGATTGGATACATTTTTTTTTTTTAAAAGCGCTAATTATTAGACATTTGCATATTTTTTCATGGCGACAAGAAATTCTAAATATAATATTTTTTTTGTCCACACATTAAATACTTCAACATTCACGTTCATTAAATACTATTATACTTGCTGGATACAATTTTTTTTGTGGTGGCTGGTCTTAGAAAGTAATCAAATAACAGACAACCAGTAGGTATAGGGGAATACTTTAGTAACATAGCTTCTCCTTGAAAACTTGCTTACCTTCCGTGTTCCAGGGGTTGTCGCAGTTCAAAAACGGCGGGTCGCTGGTGAAGGAGGCGAAGAGGTAGTGGAATGCCCAGCTGAGTAGGACGTTGTAGTAGATTCCTGTCATGGCTGACACCATCACCATGGCGATACCAACACCTGACCACAACATCCAGTAATTAGACGAGTTGGTTAGCACTTTAGTAAAAGTTGCGTTTAAAATTGTATTATAGTTAATATTAGGTTTGTACAGTTTAAGGTACTAACAATTGTATTGTGTTTTTAAGACAAATATGTAGTTGTTGGAAATTTGGGTTCCGAACATACTTTAGTAGATGTGACCTTAATTCCCTTTTACATAGCTGCAGCAAAGTTTACAATTAAAGAGTGGAGCAAAGTCTACCTCTAAATAGGAGCAAAAATTACCTTTAAAGAACAGATCAATGTTTATCTTTAAACAGCGGCTTAAAGCGGAGCAAACGTTACTTTTAAAGCGCGGAGCAAAGTTTACTTTTAGAGAGTGGAGCTAAGTTTATTTTAAAGAGGCGATCACAGTTTACCTTTAAATAGAAGAAAAAGTTTACCTTTATAAAGCGGAGCAAAATTTACCTTTAAAGAGTGGAGGTACGTTTACCTTGAAAGAGCAGAGCAAAGTTTACCTTTAGAGAGATAAGCTAAGTTTATCTTCAAAAAGGCCACAAAGTTTACCTTTAAAGTGCTTGCGAAAATTTTACCTATAAACAGCGGGGCAAAATTTAAATAGCTAACTGAAATTTACCTTTAAAGAGCGGAGCAAAGTTCCAGCACATTGTAGCGCCACAGCTGGTGTACTGTCCAAGGGCGGCCTCCAGGAAAAACAGCGGCAGGCCCACCAGGATCATCATGATAATGTAAGGGAAGAGGAAGGCGCCGCCGCCGTTACGGTAACACAGATAGGGGAACCTGTTGGTAGAATGAAATATACGGCCTGTGTTGTTGTTATGTTTTGTTGGAAGTTAGTCTACAGCAATGTCATAACTATCATCAGAATAGGATTCACAAGCACAATAAAATTGAACAAATATAAACATATCGTGGTATATTAAATCCTTAGACAACAGGTAATCGCTCACACAATTATCAACAAAAGCATTAAGACGTCCAAAAAAAAAAAAAAAAAAAAAAGAAAACAAAACAAAAACAAGGAAAATATTACTGCCCCAATGCTAAATCTTGCTCGAGTAATAACATTTAACCTAAAATTACCATCAGAACTGTTTGTAAACCTCAAACACCAACTTTATCTCGAACCTCCTTAATTGAACAATGACCCTAACCCAATCCCTATTCATAACAGCGACAATGGCAGAAAATAATTCTAAATTAATCAAAAAAATCCAACACGGGCAAAAGGCCGATGCGGAAAAACCCGACACGACAAAAGGCCGATGCGGGAAAGGCAGAAACAGACAAAAGACCGAAATGAAAAAGGTCGACACGGACAAAAAACCGACACGAAAAAAAGCCGATACGAACAAAACGCCGACAAGAACAAAAGGTCAACACTGAAGAAAGCCGACAAGGAAAACAGCCCAAATCTAACAAAAGCCAAACTTAAAATAAAGTCGACCCAACTAACCTCCAGACGTTGTCCAGACCCACGGCAAACCCCAGCACCGACACGTTGAAGTCGCAGGTTCCGTGCCAGTTACCCCGCTCCTCGTTCTCGTCCTGCTTGTAGAACAACAGCGGCACGCCCCGGAACACGGCCGGAAGTGATTCCAGACTGAGAGCTGTTTCCTGTGTAATGGGGTCACTGTGTTAGAGACATTTGTGTGTAATGGGGTCACTGTATTAGAGACATTTGGCAGGGAACATAAATACAAAGAGCTGTTTCCTGTGTAATGAGGTCACTGTGTTAGAGACGTTTGTGTGTAATGGGGTCACTGTGTTAGAGACGTTTGTGTGTAATGGGGTCACTGTGTTAGAGACGTTTGTGTGTAATGGGGTCACTGTATTAGAGACATTTGGCAGGGTACATACAGACTAAGAGCTGTTTCCTGTGTAATGGGGTCACTGTATTAGAGACATTTGGCAGGGTACATACAGACTAAGAGCTGTTTCCTGTGTAATGGGGTCACTGTATTAGAGAATTTGGCAGGGTACATACTACCGTAATATTTTCTTGAATTCTCATTTGTAGTCGGTTTTTTTTTGTTCGAGTAAAGTTTATGGAAATATAATTTTATAAGAGGTGAGTCAGATGAACTCTGCTTCTTCTGCCCCATGTGTCTTAGGCACGAACCATAAAAAAAAATAAAACGATAATTAACGTATAAGAAATTACCTTTCAACCCTGTTGGTCCGTTAATTAAGTAGTTGCAGCAGAGTTCACTTATTTTAAGTGACTTCGGTATGTAAAAGGATAGATTGGTCAGCATTATTTCCCGGTTGCTTTTACTTCACCTAGCGCGATTCAGGTAACCATAAGAGCTGAGTCCACCCACCAACTCGCACTTGCCATCCAAACACGAGACTTCCGTGTTAAAAACATACCGGTACGCATTGCGCCACATTCAGGGGCGGAACTACAGTGCCGCCAGACCCCGCAATGCGGGGGGGCCCACACCATTTAGGGGCCCACGGCCGACCATAAAAAAAAAATTATAGTTAAAAAAAAATTTCTTGCATTTTTGACTTAATGTTTGTTTTGTAAAAAAGATTACCGTAGCTGCGGTTGGATTATCTTTATTCTATAGACACCATCCCACGATAATTTTTCCTTCTTTTTTAAACCACTGTCAATCAAACTTATCAAAGATAAGCAAACGTTCAAACTACTTCAATGACTTATTTCCCTTTTTTTTAGTTAAATAGTGATGCTCATAAGCCTCTTTTTAATAGATTTGTACTAAATAAATTAAAAAGCAATTACTTCTCTTTATTATTATTTGTTTATAAATTACTTACTAAAGAATGACACTGTACAAAAAGAAAATGTATTTAAAATTAATAAAATAAATACAAAACAACATAAAAATAAACATGAAACGAGACACCATTATTTACAGAAAGCTTTCATGTTTTATATTCTTTTTGACCGGTATGTTGTTAGAGGTCTTACCGCAAACATAATATAAAACTGATTTTCACATAACAGACTAATGAACTTACACACATGACATGATGTTGTAATTTGTTTCAATATAAAAAAAAAACCCCACGTATTTCTCAAAACACGAACAGGCCAGCAATAAGTATCCTCCTTTCCTCCTTGTTCGTATTTTGTGTTTGAGTATATATATATATATATATATATATATATATATATATATATATATATATATATATATATATATATATATATATATATATATATATACATATATATATATATATATATATATATATATATATATATATATATATATATATATATATATATATATATATATGCCTAAATATTTATATGGGGGGGGGGCTAAAAAATTTTTTTGCGGGGTGGCCCCTTTTTTCTAGTTCCGCCACTGGCCACATTCACATAAGTACATACACTCACATACGGCGTGTAGATATGAATTATTAATTGTGTTTATAAGAACTACGACTGTTTCAT